GGGTGGGGGTGGAAGAAGGAAGCATTAAAGAACTAGAGGAAAGTTGTATGTTTCAACAGTGCTATACTGCACCATGACTGGCTCATCTTCCTCTTGTGACCCTTCTGTAAGGGGATGTCCAGTGCCTACAGATGGGCTTTGTGTCTCCACTCTGCATTTCCCCTCATTCACAATGACAGGATTTTTTGTTCTAGGTCTTTGATGCCTGATACCTGATCCCATCAACACCTCGTGATCAAACAGGCTGTTGTGCTTCTTCCATGTGGGCTTTGTTGCTTCTGAGCTAGATTGCCGCTTGTTTATCTTCAAGCTTTAAGACCCCCAGATGCTGTTTCTTTTGATAGCCAGGCACCATCAGCTTTCTTCACCACATTTGCTTATGCACCCATTTTGTCTTCAGTGATCGTGTTGGGAAGGCGAGCATCATGGAATGCCAGGTTATTAGAAAAAAGTGTTCTTTCATTGAGGGAGTACTTGAGTAGAGGCCCAATGTCCATCTGCTTCCTTACTACTAAACCTATAAATATATGTACATAGATCTATTTCCCTATTGTTATATAAAAATATCTTACATATGTACATGCCTGTATTTAGACCTCTATAGGTGCCTATTTGCCTCCTAGTTCTTTCCTCTATTTCCTATTATTTTCCTGTTGTCCCACTATCATATTTGGCCTTTATTCAGTAATTCTTCTCAGTTACATTGCCCTTGATGAAGCCCTACCAGGCCTCCTATACCCTCCTTGCCATCAATTTTAGATCATTTGTTGTTTCCTTGTTCCTGGGTTTGCTAATACCCACTTCCTTTCCCCCACCCCACCCCCTCCTATGTCTCCTATCTCCCCACCACCACCCCTGAACTGTCTGTCCCGTTGGTTTCTCCTCCAGATTGTTTATCCCACCTATCTTATCTAGATAGGCATGCAGAGCCAATAATAAGCACAAAGACAAGACAGAGCAAAACAAAACAACACCAAAAAAAAAACAAAAAACACCTGAGGACAAAAGAAAAGAAAGGCTGTAAATAGTTCCAAGTCTGTTTGCTGACCTTTAGGAGTGTTTTATGGTCAAATCTGATGGGCAGCCACACCCTGCCATCAAAGTCTATTTTTGGTGTTCACCGGGGACTTCATTGATTTGTCCCCCTTGCTGCTCGGTTGCACGCCCTTAGCGTTTTGCCCCAGAGTAGCGGGGTCAGATCAGGCATAATTCCCACACTGTGCCTCCAGTGCTGTCCCTCGAAGCTCTATGAGTCAGTGAGGGACATCATGCCTTGTGGTGGGATTGGCCCTATGGTCTTCTCTGTGCGTTGGCTGCTTTGAGCAGGAATATTGTCCTTGGGGCTTGGTGGGCCAGGATGTTTTCCACTTTCTCTCCTTCCCTCTTCGTTTGCTCCTGTGTGCTCTGATCAGACATGCCCCTCTCCCTGAGCTGTAGCTTCAGTGCTGTCCTCTGAAGTGAATTCTTCTGTGGGGAGGGGAGGTGTCCACGTAGTTGGGGCTGGGGCTGGCCCGCAACCATCTTTCTTTCTAATGAGCATTCTGGTCATACTGGTGCTAAGATTTGTTTACTCTATTAACAGTCCATGCTATATGCAAGATTCTTCCTCAACACCACAGTTCAAATGCATCAGTTCTTCGGTATTCCTTATTCAGTGTCCAAATTTCACATGCATATGAGGTGAGAAAATACCATGGCTTTGGTCAAGCACACCTGAGTCCACAGAGTGATTTCCTTGCTCTTCAACAGTTTAAAGAGCTCTTGTGCAGCGAATTTACTCAGTGCAATGCATCATTTGAGGTCTTGACTGTTGCTTCCATGAGTGTGGATTGTGGATCCAAGCAGGACAAAATCTTTGGCAACTGTGTTAGGCAGGGTCCTCTCGAGAAATAAAACCAGGACACGTATGATTAAATATATTATATATATAATTCCTCTACTTGATTTAGGCATTTGACAATCAAGAGTAAGTGTGGGGGAACTTAATTTAGCTTATCAGCAGAAGTAATTTTAGGAAAAAGAGAGTTTCCAACACTTTGATGGAGTATCCCCTCCGCTAAGGAAAACTCTAAGAACTTGGTGTTGGGCATGACCCATTTACTAAATAGATAAGTAAATGAGAGTTGAACAGGAGTGTTTTGTAGTAAATCTTGCCCAGAAGTAAGTAGAGGATCTGTTCAAACCTGAGACACTGTACCTGTGTTATCATACAGGGATTGGTCAGTGGTCTGGGTATCAAGAACTCATGATGTGTCACTAAATGCTAGATGCTGTAGGGAGGAAAACTTTTGTATGAGGTAATCCTCATACCAAAGAGACTCCAAAAACTCACTGCCAGCCAGTTGAAGCCGACTCAAAGTGACCCTGTGGAGCAGGTTAGAGCTGCCCCATATAGAACACACTAACCTGTGTGATCCAAGATGACGATAGCAATCCAAAAATGACGACGGGAAAAGTATCAGAGCTTCAATTGTGAGCACCCAATTTGTAGAAGGCTGTGGAGGACAGTGGGAACCCATTATTCATCTGCAGAGCACCGACTCAGATTAAGCATCTGGCAGATCCCCTCTAGCCATAGATGACACTCAAACAGCTTTCCTATCAGACAGAAATTATTGTAAACTTGATTTTGGTGGATCCAACCATGGTAGAATATGATACTTGGTCCATTGACCTCCCTCTTGACCCAACCTGAGTCCGCTCTAGCCTACAATATTCTCCCTTGTTCCACAACAGAAATTATTTCCATGGCTTTTAAAATATTGTTGGTGATCTTTTCTTTCTTATTCTTGAGTTTTATCTTTATATTGTTGTTATTGTTTTCTTCTTTGTTTTTTTTTTTAATGGTTTCTGTTAGCTTTCCCAGTTTATGAAGCCTGGAAGAAATGAATTCACAGGGATAGTAACTGATGCAATACTTTACCAGGAATGGGGCGTGAGAAGGGTGAGGGAAGTTGAGGAGCAATCAGTGAAAGAGGGAGTGGGGAGGGAGCATTAGAACTGATTGTGATAATGTATATACAGCTCTTTGAAAACCCGATTTAACTCTACAAGTATATGATATGTGAATATTATGTCATGAAAACTACTTTAAAAACAAGAAACCAAACTTCACCATAGGTGTAGGGGGAAGAGTTTTTGCTTAGGGGGCATTGAATCAATTTCAATGGTGGTGGAACAATTTGGAAAGGGCTATCAATAGTGGCTGTAGAACATGAAGAGTATCATCAATGGCACTGAATTATACATGTAGAAGTTGTTGAATGGAAGAATGTTTGGTCGTGTATATTTTTTGCCACAATTTTAAGAATAATTACACAAATAACACAAAGCACAAAGAAGAATGTTCTAAAATCAGTTGTGGAAATGATTATACAACTCTTCTTGATGTTTGAATTATTGAATGGGATGATATGTGGAAGAAGCATCAATAAATCTGCTAAAAAATAAAAATAATTCATGCTGAAGCTCTTCTTGTAACTACTTGCTCAAGTGAAACTTCCTTGGTTGCCTGGGAAACATATACGACTTCAATTGTCCAAGGTTTTTTTCTTGAGACTTGGATTCTGTGTCCTTATCATGAGAGATACTATTTCTTAAGGCCATTTTACACCAATACATCTGTGGCAAAGACCCCTTCATTGGGATTTTCCTTCCACATTCTGGCTTGACTGCAGAGAAAACAAATGTTTTCCCTTAGTTATTTATGGCTGTATAACCAGATAAGAATCCCGAGAACGGGCATCTGTGAAAAATCTGATCTATTTTTATTGAAGCAACATAATTCAGGCATTTTACTTTCAATCAAAGATTTATTTACATATCTCCTTTACAGATGAGACTGAGACTTGGCACATTCCCCTTGGATATCCTCTCAGATTATAAGACCGGGTTTATTTTGTATTTTGATGTAGTGATATGTTCTTCCATTGTCCCTTCTGGTTTTTTCTTTCTTTCTTGTTTTGTTAAGAAAATTCTCCTGTGCATCAAAGGGTCTAAAATTATTTTCCAACTAATTTTTCTAACATCTATTCATTTATTTTTATAATATCAAATGAATATGGATTTTGTTTTTATTATATTGTAGCACTCTATCAATGGGGGAGCTAATTATATTTGTATTATTTGTTGAATGACATGTTATTTGGACATTGATTTGAAAGGACACATCTTAAACTATATTAGATATCTTTTCTTTTGTTTTCCTGTGAATTATCTGTCAAATTTAATATCCAAATCATGCTGTTTTGATTATATGGATGTTCAGTAAGTTTCAGTATCTACATTTGTGTTCGTCTGGGTAGACTAGAGAAACAAATTCATAGACACTCATCTGTGTATAGGAAAGAGCTTTATGCAAAGAGTAATTATACATTAGGAAAACATCCCAGTGCAGTCCAGATAAAGTCCATAAGTCCAATATTGGCCCATATGTCCAATACTAGTCCATAAAATTCTCTTTAGACTCATGCAGCCATGCAATCATGCCGAATGCTGGAAGATCAGAGGCCAGTGGGTGGAAAGCCTTGTGGATCCAGTAGTGGTAGAAGCATCTCAGCGCTGCCAGGGGTTTCCTCGTGGTTCCTACAGTTCCCAGGGCTCTGGCTGCATCAGCACAGCTCCATGTGGCTTGTTGTCAGGAATGTGTCTCAGGAAGTGAGCCTGTGTCCTGCCTCCAGCGAGCTATTTATCTCCTTAGCACCTCCAAAACGAGGTAATCGAGCTGCACCTGATTGACAGGCTAACCTCCACCCCTTCACGCTTAAGTCTCCAATTGACAACAGATTATGTAACCACTACAACATCCTATAATCGTTTTCTCAGAATTGTTTCATAATGAGTAGGTTTTCCAAGAACAGTTTGAAAGGTTAAAAAGAAAAAGGGTTATAGTATCATCGACTATTCTCATGACAAACAAAAGTGCACATAGAATTTAGACTATTTCATCACAAGTGAGGTGCTAACTGGAACATTCATTCCATTTTGGGCTTCTGTGGTAGGTCCATGAACTTCACCAGGAAGCCATGAAGTCTACCAACCTAGAAGTTCAAAGTGTGGAAATTGACATATTCTCGGAAGATGATGATTATCTGACACTTCAGAATCCCCAAAAGGTAATTTTTTCCAGGATGTTTGTCTATGATAGCCATTAAAGAAAAATATCAGTGCATAAGGTAAAGGAACTGAGCAAAGGTCTAAGCTAGCGTTTCTCCACATTGGCACTGATATTTTGGTCAAGAGAATTCCTCGTTGCAGTGAGCTGTCATGTGTGTTATGGGATGTTTAGTAGGATCCATGGCCTTATCCAGTCAATGCCAATACAACTGCCCCTGCTGCGATTCTGGTGGGGAATGGCCTTCTTACCCTTTGTTAAGAACTGGATAATGCCAGAAATTAGGATAGCTGGAAATTATAGTCGCAGGAAATCAGCCTCTCCACATGACCTGGCTTCCTGTCTGAGGCCGGCAGCCTCTCAGAGGTATGGTTTGTAGGAAAGAAGGTAATGTGTCCTCGTTTGCCTTTCCTTAGCTAAGGAAGAAAAGTTAGGGATCTGTTCTTGCAGTCAACGTTGGCCACAACACTTAGAAAAGGACCCCATAGAAGTCTTTTCTCCACACCTTTGCCCAGCTGGTTGCCTCTCGGTCCAGTCTGATCATGAAGAAGAGGCACTACCAAGGCGTGGGAAGGTCTCGGTGAGTGACTGCCCTTTCCTCTGTTCTGATGTGCAGAAGTCTGACACGGCTAGTATGCTGTCGGAATGTAGCACTATCGACCCTACGGATCCCTTTAGGCGACTACCTGAAATGACCCCCAAAAAGCAACCTGAGAGATGTCTGCCCAAAGGTAAGTGGCAGGATTTATGTTCTTCAGTCAACGAAGCTCTGTAGTTTGGGGCAAAGCTGTTAATCTATCTTTGGGTGGGAGGAAAGCAAAGGGCGGCCACTCACATATACTTGGGGACTGATATCAGTCTAGAAGAAGGCAAGTTCAGGCAATTCTTGCCTCGGGGCTCAGTCTATGTATTTGAACAATCAGGATAGGCACTCCAGGAAGCTACCATGTCTGCCACTTTGTGTAATCCCCAGCATGGAATTGAGGTCAGATACCAATAGAAAAACTTGACCATAGCCAAGGATTGATGGGCGCTCTAAACATACTTGCAACTTACCCCTTAGATCTCTTCTCTGGGAAGCAGGAAGACACGGTGGCCAAGAACGTCAGAATAACAGCTCGGCAGCTAGAGTCTACACTAACATCCTTACCTCTCCACTTGCTAGCTGTGTGACTTTTTCCAATTTACTTAACTTCTCTATGCCCAGTTTATAAAATGGTGACAATAACAGTACCTGCTGCAAAGCATTATTGTGAGTCTTAAGTGAAAATAGAAAGCACTTTGGAGCGTGTCTGGCACAAAATATGCAATCAATAAATGACTCCCTGAGTGGATGGATAGGATGGCCTTTTGTATGAGCCCCTGGGTGGTACAAATGATTCAGCAATTAGCTTCTAGCCAGAAGGCTGGTGAAACAAACCTACCCAGAGATGCTTCAGAAGACAGGCCTGGTGATCTGCTTCTCTAAGATCACAGCCTTGAGAATCCTGTGGCGCAGTCTACCCTGCACACTTGGCATCACATGAGTCAGAACTGACTTGATAGCAACTAACCATAACCTATTTGGTATGAGACTAGGACCTGACCCAGGTTATGGACTCAAGAAATGCTGACAAACAAGTAAATAAATGACTTAGCAAATGAGTGACTGAATCTAAACCTCACGATTTCTCCATAAGTATGGGGCTAGACTGGGCCCTGAAAGAACACCAAGAATGGGTTTCAAGTCCATAGTTCTGGTTTGACAGCCTCAGAGTTGTCAAAGGGAGACAGAGGTCAGATTCAGGATTCCCTATAGACTACAGTTGTGCTTTAACTTTGAACTGGTCATTGAGCTATGCAGGCCACCACATATTAGGTTTTACAGAGACAAGAGACAGAGGTGGCCTGCATGTCAATGGTGGAGATGAAGAAAGGCAAAGTGGACAGGGAGGCATGATTCATGCTGAAGGGTTTTATGTGTTGAGCACCAGTGCTCTGCTATGTGTAAACATTTCAATTGATCAATTTCTTGCAAACATGGCTTGGGTGGTCTACACAGCCTATCTCCAATCTTAGCTCATTTCCTGAAATTCTTCGAATATTGTCTGTTTACCATTGCCCCAAATACCCCAAACAATCAAGTGACATTAGTCAACCACAAAACTTCATTGACATAAAACGGTAAAGATATCTGGCTCATGCACCTGCGTGATTCAGCTGATCTAAGCTCTGTTGATCCTGGAAGCCTTCATCCATATATGTGGTTTGACTGGGGATCAACTAACTGGTCTAGCCTGAGTTCCACTGGGCAACTTGACACTGTGGGCTAGCCCAGAGGCACGCACCTTTCTCATGGAGATGGTGCAAGAGAGTTTTAGACTGGTGCATTGAGATTTCTGCTCCACTTTGCTGACTAGAGAAAGTCAGTGAGCCCAGAGTCAGGGGGTTGGAAAAGAGTCTCCACTTCTTTAGCGGGACAGACGGCAAGACCATGTGGCAAGGGCTGCACATACAGGCGGGGTGAGCATCAGGGCTGGTGATGTGAAGTGCCCCAGACACTAATGGTCCTGCCACTGCTGGTTCTTTCAGGCCTGGGATGCTGCTTTCCATGCTGTGGCGTGGACAAGAGAAAGTCCCCCTGGGTCATATGGTGGAACCTGCGGAAAACCTGCTACCAAATAGTGAAGCACAGCTGGTTTGAGAGCTTTATTATCTTTGTGATTCTGCTGAGCAGTGGGGCGCTGGTAAATGATCAGGGTCTTGTGGGGGTGTTGGGGATGCCGCTGAGGGAACTGCATTTGGCTTGATCCTTCATGGGGCTGTGAGTGTGGGGAGAGCAGGCCGATGTGGAATCATTGCTACTGGTTCCCCTTAGAGGACAGAGTTTTGCCGAAGCGGCTTCTTTTGTCATGCTCCCCTGAGCCAAGGACATTTGACCTGTAGGGAAGAGCTCCTGCAGGCCGGCTCTTGAGCCCAGGCCTGTCCATCTACCCTTCATTCTGGAAGGATCCCTAGACATGTTCATTGTCCTATGTGTTTTTCCTCTAAATTCCTTCTCTCCCTTTCCTTGGAGGCCCTAGTGCTGTGGTCTAAAGGTAAAATGCTCAGGAGACAGGCTACTTAGACCAAACTGGGATCTATACTAAGTTGACTTGGCTATGACAGATTGGAACATTCCAGATACAAAGGAGAGCAGGGTGGGAAGTAACTCTGAATGCCGGAGTCTGCATAAGCAGATAGTCCCACCCTCCTTTCTGCTCTCTCTCCTCACCTGGTGGTCCTTCTCCTCTTCCCACTCCACCTTCTCCCCTGGGGAGAGTGTCTGCTCTCTTATGAAGTACACACCCCTCTCTCTCCTTCACCCCTTCTGTTTTGTGTCTGCCCCTAAAATGACCACGGCGTAGAACTGAACTATCTAGCTTTGTGATATCAGGTAAATGGATTTCTGAGTTATCGCTTATTGATTTTGAATGAGAGAACATTTCACGATAAGCCACTACCACATGGGAGGGGGCTAGGACATGGTCTGTTCTCACATACCCACATGGCGTTCTATGCCTATGGGCCTCCAGGTGAAAGAAACCGAGCACATTCGGGGGCCCCCATGGGCTTGCATTCCCAAGGACCCCTGTATTGGTACTCAGATCAGTACTCAAAACCCCAAATCCCCCTGAAACAGCCCCCGGAACTCCCTGGGTTCATTTGGATTTCTAACCTTTGGTCTAGGGCGTCCACATAGCCTTCTAGTGGTCACATTTTCACGGACCGTCTTGTCTCGTTCGAGTGGAAGAGGGTCTTTCATTGATTTCAGACATGATAACTGGTGGCTATCAAGCCCTGTGCCAGTCAGTGGGCATTGTTCATGGGCCACAGACATGTGCCCTACGCTGGCATGGGATGAAAATATACAATTGGAGAAATAGCAAAGGGCACTCAATCTTCCTCATTCTCATCTTCCATCTGAGAGGCAAGTGTAGGCAGGGCAAAGTGCAACTGAAGACAGGGCAGAGTTCCAGAAAGATCCAGTCCCTGTTTCACTATACCATCTGCAGAGAAACGAGGACAAGGAATATCAAATGCCTTACAACTGTGTGAGCCTGTATGGACCAGCAACATCAACATTACCCCAAAGCTTACTAGAAATTCAAAGCATTGGATCTACCTCAGCCTTACTAATCAGGATATGCACTGTAAGAGCTGCCTGGGTGATTCAGAGCCCATTTGGATTTGAGTAGCCCTGGTCTAGGCACTTCGAAATCCCAGTGGCACTCTTTCGATGTGGGCTAAATGTCCAGCTGTCAACTGCAAGGTCAGTGACTTCAAGACCAGGCTATTAGAACCAACTCAATAGCAGCGGTTTCACCTTTGTCCAGGCACTACATAACAATGGGAGCTTCTCCGAGTAGGAAATGGCCCAGTTTAGCCTCAAATAACAATTGCCAGCATCAGCCTGCTTTCTCCCAGTGAGCTAACTCAAATGGCCGGCTTGTTGCTAACTTCCAAAAATAAGAGAGGAAAGGAGCCTCCCACACCATTCAATTTGATCTGTTTCTCAAGGGGTGAGCAGACAGACAAGTCATGACCTCCAGGAGCTTGGTGTCTAGTAGGGAAGACAGATGAAGTTCACACAATTGTAGGCCAGGGTCATAAATAAATATTCCCAGAGCAGCACAGTCACATGTGGGGGCTTGTAGAAAGGGGTCCTGTGTTAGTAGACTAGAGAAACAAATTCATAGACACTCACATGTGTATAAGAAAGAGCTGTATATAAAAGAGCACTTGTATTTTGAGAAAACATCCCAGCCCAGTCCAGATCAAGTCCGTAAGTCTGATAATAGACCATATGTCCAATTCCAGTTTATAAATTCCTCTTCAGACTCACGCAACACATGCAATTATGCTGAATGCAGGAAGGTCACAGGCCAGCAGGTAGAAAGTCTTGTGGAAACAGTGGTGGTGGAAGCATCTCAGCACTGGCGTGGATCTCCACCTGGCTCTTCCAGCTCCAGGGCTCTGGTTCCACCTGCATAGCTCCATGTGTCTTGTCAGCAGAAAGACCAAGCAAAGTGTCTGGGTCTGGCCTCCAGTGAGCTATTTACCTCTGTAGCACATCCAAATGAGGTCATTAAACTGCAACCTAATTGACAGGCTAAACTCCACCCCTTCCCTCTTAATAGTCTCAAGTTGTAGTATGTAACTACCACAGGCATTAGCTAAGCTGAGATTTAATGAATGAGGAGCTGGCAGAATAGGAGTTAAAGGGCCTCCTCCTGTCAAAAATTCACTTTGGAGTTGGAAACAAGACTATTGAATGCTTTTGCTTTCATTCATTCTTTCTTTCTTTTCAAGCCAAGGCTGTGGGGTTGTGGTCTTCTCTGAGTCCCCTACAGGAGAGTTGGTTTCTTCCATGCAAATCAATATCTTCAATGTTTGTTCCTCTGTCTTTGGCAGATTTAGTGGCAGATGTCTTATGTCCCGCATTTCTTTATCAATAATTCTTTGAAGTCCAGAAGAACTGTTGATATCTTCATTGTATAAACCTGGCAGAGGCACACAGACATTTAGGGAAAGTGAAATATTTAGATGCAGTAGGAAAACAGTCACTCTGAGGACCAGAACGCTTCGTTTTTGTAGTCGCACTTAACAAATGTTAATTTTCAAAGGCATGTAAGATGCAGCTTTGATCACCTAGAGAAATGGGAAAATTTCCAGAAACATGCTACCTATCTAAACGAACACAAGTGAGGAGGAAAAAAAACAACAACAAACAATCTTTTAATAAAAGAAGAGATTAAAGAGGTAATAAAAACAAAACAAAAATAACAAAGAAAAGCCCTGTTGCAGACAGCTTCACTGGAAAAATAAGACCCACCAGACAGGGAAAAGCTTGCACCCATATTACCCAAACTATGCATATTTCAGAAGTAACCAGCATAACCCTGATGGCAATATCAGGCAAAGGCACCTACTAAAAAATAAAATTATAGACAAACACACCTCACGAGTATAGATGCAAAAAAGTTTCCATTACATTCTAGCCAATAATTTTCAATAGCATATCAAAAAAAGTATACATTATGACCAAAATGGGATTTATTACAGATATATACCAGGATGAGTCAACATTAAAAAATAAATCAATGTAATTCACCATAAAAATACAACAAAAGAATCTCATGAACACCTCAATTAACACATTAAAGGCCTTTGATAAAGTTTAGGGCTCATTCCTAATAAAAACTCTCAGAAAAATAGGAAGAGAAGGAAAATTCTTCAACATAATAAAAGACATTCATACAAAACCAGCAGCCAACATTATAATCACCACAGGCTAACTGCCTTCCACCTGAGAATGGGACCAGACAAGAATACCCTTTATCACTGCTCTTAGTCAACATTGTACTGGAACTCTTACCGAGTAATAAGATCAGAGAAGGAAATGAGGGACCTTTGTCTTGACAAGGAAGAAGGAAAACTCTTCCTACTCCAGTTGATATGATCCTATACATAGACAATCCCAAAGATTTTACCAAAAGAGCAGCACACAGGTCAACATACAAAATAGCAGTTAATTCCTCTCTACCAAAGGATTTCCAATTTATTTGGCCCACTGTCACCTTTTCAGAAAAAAGAATCACTCAACACCCTCCTGGTAATAGAAATATTGGTGCTGTGACCCCCAGAACACAATAAAGTGTAAGCATCTGCTGTTACAGCTCCCCGGGGTCTTTCCTGAATCCCTCCGTGAGCAATACCACCTACTACTCTACACCAACAAAGAGAACTTTGAAAAGGAAACCAGGAAAATAATATCAATTATAATCCCCACCCCCCAAAAAAAGATCAAATACTTAGGAATAAATCTTACCCCAGTTATAAAGGATCTATACACAGAAGATTGCAAAACACTCCTGTAAGAAGCCAAGAGAGCTCTACCACGATGGAAAGACATAACCTGCTCATGAATAGCAAGACTTAACATTGCGAGTGTGTTATTTAATACTACCCAACAATACAACCCCGATCCACATTTCAACAGCATTCTTTAGCAAGATGAAAAAACTAATCACCAACTTTTATGGAAAGGAAAGAAGCCCTGGGTAAGAAGCATTATTGAAGAAGATCCGAAGTGGGAAGCTCACACTGCCTGTGTCAGACTGGGTGGTCTAGAGAAACAAAACCGGTGACACGCATATATGTATAAGAACAAACTTTCTATCAAGAAGGTATCCCAGTAATTCTAACTCAAATCCATGGGTCTGAAGCTAGCCGAACCCTTTCAGGCTCCTATAACTGAAAGCCGAGATCAGAGGCCAGTGAGTGCAAAGTCATATGGATCCAAGGTGGGTGGTAACATGGCCAGGTGGCAACAGCTCCCTGGGTCAGTAGCCCACATGGGGCACCTGGAGACACCCCTGGAGGCAGACACAGAATCCCAGGAAGGAGGAAGGTGGAGGAGCAGAGAGGGAGAGAAGTGCTCACTGCCCACCAAGGAGGCACCATTAGACTGTGACTTGATTGATTGATTGGACTCCACTCCTACACTTTCACACAGGTGTGAGTTGACATACAATCTAACTGCTACACTGCCTTATCTCAGAACCTACTATGCAGCCTCACTAGTCAAAACAGCCTACCTAGCATTGGTACAAAGACAGACATAGACTACTGAAACAAAATCAAGGACCCAGACTTAAATTGAACTACTTAAGGAAAGCTGATTTCAATAAAGGACTGTCATCCAGTAAATGGGGGAAGAAACAATCTCTCTGACAAATGGAACTGGCAACACTGGTTGCCTATCTGTAGAAAAGTAAAGCATGATCCATAACTCATACCACACACGAAAATAAACCCCAAATGCAGTAAAGACCTATCTATAAAACCTGAAATTATTTATCATGGAGAAAAAAATTGAGACCACACTGTTGGTAGATGCCATTGAATCAGTTACAACTCACCCTGTGCCAACCTCGCAATTGTGATGTCTGAGCCCACTGGTGCAGCCACTGTGTCCCTCTAGCTCATCAAAGAAGACCTTCAGTGAGAGCCAGTATTGATGCCTAATAAATAGCATAGAATGCCAAGTATAACTAAAAACACACAAATAGCAGAAGATGAACTCGATACTTGAATTTCCTACAAACTACATCTATATCCTTCTCAAAAGACTTCTCCAAAAGAGTAAAAAGAGTTTTGACTTCAGGGTTGACGGGGTTGGGTGGGGGATTATTGGTGATAACAAAGCCAAAAAGGACTAATCATTAAAATTAATAGAAAGCGTCAACATTTCAACAACAAAAAGACAAGCAAGTCAATTTTAAAATGGGCAAAGGACACGAACAGACACTTCACCCAAGAAGACATTCGGGCAGCTAACTTATGGGAAGAGATACTTACGATGATTGGTCATTAGAGAGATGCAAATCAAAACAGTGTTAGATTTGATCTCGCACTGACAATAAAATCCATGATGAAAACAAAGTCCAGAGAAGGACCAGGGCTGGTGGGAGTGTGAAGCACTTGGAACTCTCTCACACTGCTGGTGGGGCAGTAAACTGGTACAACGACTGTGGAAAATGGTATATGATACCCTTTTAAAAAAAAGTCAAGATAAAGCGTGTTAGGCCAGCCGGTGGCGTGTGGAAGTCAGGATGTGGTTATCTTTTGCTGTGGATCCAGTGGCGCACCTCCACGGGGTCAGAAAATGTTCAGCTAGCCACAATGGCCAGAAAAGGTGATAGTGGAAAAATGACTGAGCTGAAAGCCAAAATCTGTCATCTGATGGAGTATGACACTGGGAGACCAGTGTTTAAAGGAACAGATCAAACTGGGTGAAGGCTGGGTCCCACTGGAGATAATGCTAAAATTCAACAGGTTAAGCCATCTAACAACAGTCTTTATGTGATGGTAGATGCATTGAACAAATCAAAGGCAGAGCTTATGAAAATAAGTGAAGAAAAAACTAAAATCAGAAGCTCTCCAAGCAAATTCCTCTCTGGAGTGACAAATGAGTATAAAAATGACGTGAAAACAGACCCGTTTGTTTATCTAGGGGGTCACTATTTGTTGCGTTTGAGTGGATAGAATGTGCTAAGAAGTTCGTAGAGACCCCTGGCCAGAAGTATAAAAGACACAGAGTGGCTAGTACTTTTCAAGGATGATTACTTTGCAAAAAAAAAAAAAAAAATGACCACAGAAAGCCAACTAAAGCAGAGGCTAAATGACGATCTAAACAAGAGCAGGAAGAGAAACAAAGATGCTGAAATGAAATCTCTAGATGGGCTGCTTGCTGAGGTGTTCAGGTGACGTAGATGGTCATCCCTGTAGAGAGGATTTGCATATCCCCTTTGCAAGTCATGAGGAGCCAAAGGGATACACTGTGTCAGAGGAACAAGAGAGGGAGTCCTTCTATTTAAAGGAAAAAAGCTCGTGAAGTACTGGGTACAGCCAAAGAGGCAAGGGACCATTGCCAACAATTAAGAAACAGAGGTGGCCTGGGAAGTCCTAGAGGGAGAGGTGGAAAGAGCAGCCCTGAAAACAATCGTGGGGGGACCTCCCCAAGAATCCCTGCATGAACCAAATTTAAATGAAAAGGAACGGGAAATACAGTGGCCCTGGGTGAGTCAGCCAAAGGAAAAGGACCGTTTCAGAGCAAGAAAATGGAATTTGACTGCGAGGATGAATGTCATGAAAATGGTGGTGCCGCTGGACCAGTGAACCGGGCAAGAGAAGCAGCAGACAAAGAAGAGCCTGCCTCCAAACTCCAGCAAGCAGAAAATGGTGCCGGAGACCCGTAGTGCAAATAAATGGATAAGGCTCCCGGTGGGAGCTGGATAAGATGTGGGAGATGATGGGCTTCAGGGTTAGCAGGATCTGGAGTGTAGACCAAAGAATGTGGACTTGATACTACTGGCAATGAAGGGCCATTGAGCAGAGCCTTTCAAGTATGTAGGAGGATGAGAGATGGCGTGTCGTTCTGGAACCATTGTGTGGTGCTGGAAAATCATATAGTTGAGAAGAGGTACAAGGATTAGAAAGTCCAGGAGATGATGTGGTGAATCTGGAGGCAGGGTGATTCATTAAGAAGGTGCTTCCATATTTCAGATAGAGGCCTGGTGGTGTCGGGTTTATGCAATGGACTGCGATCTCCGTGGTTGGTGGTTTGAAAACACCAGCAGCTCTTTTGGAGAAAGGCTGGGCTTTCTACCCCTGTAAACAGTTACAGTCTTGGAGACCCACCAAGGTGGGCTGTGGGCAGGGGTGTCACCATGAGTCAGCATTGACTGATGGCAGTGAGAGTCTATATTCCAGAGGAGTTGTGATGGAAATCTGGGGAGCTATAGTAACCCAGGTGTGCAGAAAAAGTCATCCTTCTTCTGTTTCACTTACTCCAGGAACAAGTCTCGGGCTTCATAAGTCCAGGCTTAATATCTTTTGAAGCAAAACCTTAATTACTAAAAGATACTACTTAATTCATATACAGAGAGGCAAAGGCAGCAAGTTCTATGCAAATATCCAACTTGGCCTGAAGCTATGCTTTTACCATTTCAGGTATTTGAAGATGTTCACCTTTCGGAACAACCCCAAATCCAAATATTACTTAATTGTACTGACCGGATTTTCACAAACATTTTTATCCTGGAGATGGTTCTGAAATGGGTGGCCTTTGGATTTGGAAAGTATTTCACCAGTGCTTGGTGTTGGCTGGATTTCATCATTGTGATTGTAAGTTTCCCATCTGTGGACCATGTAGGTTGGGGCAGGGAATGGACAGAAGAGGAAGGGTGGAGGGGGCGGTCATACAAGAGTTGCCTTTCCTATGTGTCTCATATCTGTACCCCTTTGACATATTTTTCTTGCTCATGTTGCACCTTCACCATCTATGTAAGTACGTTATCACTGATCCAACAGGAACGCAACCCTCTATAGCTTGCACCCTGATACACGGCCCTTTTTAGGCTCCTGACCCAGCCCCCTTCCACATGTGCCACTCATCCACTTTACTCCATAGCATTGCTTATGTCTGCTACAAATATAGACTATATTTGAGTACCCTCTATTCTCCCTCCCCTTCCACTCCCCCCCCCCCACTCTCCAAGATATCTCAAAGAAAGTTAGGGGACAACAGGTTGACTGGTCCCATCTGGACTGTCAAGCAACCTAATTGTTCACAAGTGCTGTGCCTGCTCTGCACGACAATGTCCCTGTGAAGCAGTGCTCTGCATCATGCTTTGTACAGCCAGCGGCGGTGAAAAGGGGGAGGACCCTTGAGGAGATGGACTGACCCAGTGGCTGCCACCGGGGCCTCAGCTATAACAACAATTGCGAGGGTGGCTCAGAAGCAGGGAGTGTTTGTTCTGTGGTACATCGGGGTGCTATCATTGGAACAGACTCAATGTCACCTGAAAATCACAACTTCAACTACTTTATAGACAAGGAAACCCGAAGCTCAGGGGATCAGCAGCTTGTTTCTTGCCATGCTGCTGGGGAAGTCGGGATTCACACTTCAGTTTGGATGATGCTCAAGCGAATAATAGCCACGCTCCTATTGTTGTTATTGTCCTTGATTGTTCACTTGTTGTCAGTGTAATTCTGGCCCCTGGCAGCCCATGGGCTGCAGAGTAGAATTGCTTCGTAGGGTTTGCAAGGCCTTTCAGAAGTAGATGGCCAGGTTGGTCTCCTGAGACACCTCTGGCTGGGTTCATACTGTCCAATTTGGCCAGTAGTTCAGTGCTTAATCTTTGTGACCCCGAGGGACTCCGAATACCGGGCCACATTTAATAACTTCTTATCTGGGTCAAGTACTCTGCCAGGTGCTTCACAGTCATTGTCTGTTGTAGTTATCACAGGTACCCTATGTCATAGGTACTATTGTTTCCCCCATTTTTCAGAGGCAGAATTTTAGTCATAGCGAAGCTAAGAAACATGTTTGAGATTAACCAGCAAGAAATTATGGAGGTGAGAGGAAAACCCAGTTGATCTCATTCCAGAGCCCTTGAATTCAGCAAAGGTTCCCTTCTCCCCTTTCTTCTTCCTATGAGATCATGAGCTAGACTGTCTCCCTGCTGTGAAAGAGAGTAAATGTAACAATACATGAGCGCAAGTCATGCTGTTGGCAAACCCCACTGAAGAACTATACTCCAATAAAACCACCCTAACGGCCATCAAGTCGATGCTGACTCCTAGCTATCTTACAGGAGAGGGCAGAACTACCCCTGTAAGTTTCTGAGATGTTAACTCTTGACAAGAATAGAAAGCCCTGTCTGTAAAAGCTCTGCCTTTCTTCCAAGGAGTGGCTAGTGGCTTTGAACTACGGACCTTGTGCTTACCAGCCAATGTGATCAGTGCCATGGGAGTTCCAGAAATCAAGGAAAGGAATAGAAATATCCACATTTCTCCATTCTATCAACTTCCAGAGTACAAAGCACTCTACTATGCAGTCATGATCTTATTAGGTGATCATGGAAATCTATAAGTAGAAACATGATCATTATCTCCATTTTTAGGGGCTGGTGGTTTATTAGGAAAAAAGCCTAGACTGACAGATCTCTTTCTGAAAACCCGTAAGCAAAACACTCTCCTGACATTAGTTTTTATCAGGAAAAAAGTGAGGATGTGACTGGAAACTGGCCAAATATAAAATGACAAGCATACCTCTAGCAAGAACTATAACAAATGCAAAAACAGTTAAAAAGCACACTTGAAGAAATAAAAAAAGGACCAGGTCCAGATGATCTTACAGGCAAGTTTTATCAAACTTCCAAAGAACAATTAATCTTGATATTGTCCAAATTTTTACAAAGAGGAGACATTTGAAAACCTTGAGTAAGACAAGTATAAACGTTCTTTTAAAAAGAATAGAATAAGAAAACAAGATGCCTTTTCAATCTTTTTATGAACATAGATATGAAAATCTTAAATTAAATGTAAGAAAATGGTATTTAATAGTTTTAAAATGCATAATGACTAAATGAGCTGATCCTAGGAATTCAGACTTGTCAGTGTAGTGGCATGGTACAGAATGTGGGTGTTTCAGTTCTGAATGCTTCACTTTCACCTCCAAATTTGGTGGAACAGAAACCAGGAACATAGTTTCAAGTGAAAAGATCTAACTATCCCTTAGAAACTCTTCTTCCCCACCAAGTAGAGGGAGAAATGATTTGGGAAAACCAGGAAAACTGCTTGGCATTGCCGTAATTTTACCCCTGGCTAAAACCCAAAACAGAAGGAATGTTTATCGAAAATGGTTTAAATAACTCTCTCAACAAATAATGCTATTACCAAAATACCTATTTAAAAAAAACAGTGGAGTATGAAAATCATCAAGACAAAACTATCTTGAATTGATAATTTTTAAAAATTAATGACACATTTAAAATGTTTTGCTATACAGTCACATTAACTCAATTAACTTGCAAATGTTTTCTTAGTGCAACGGAATTGGTATGAGTTAGTGTGAGATATTCTTAGGTAATAATGAACTCTGGTTTCTGCTTGTCAAGAGTCTCATAATTCACTGCCTATACAGCTGAGAAACTCTCCTCCCAAGTCCAGCCTCTGAAAACTCTTTACAAGTCATAAGAATGGCTACGGGTCTATGAAACGTGGTCTTGGACTTTAGCACAGCCTACTGTTAGGTGTTCATTTAGTGCACTTACAGTACATAGCTTTCCAAACCTGTCTGCCTGGGGAGCAGTTTTGGGAGACAAAATTGCATTCCATTCCCCCAGAATGAGCTATTTGAGTAAGGGGAAGTGTTAGCAACCAAAAACTTATTTATTTCTTTTATTTTTATCTAATCTCAAACTTACAGAAAAGATGAAGGAACTAGTATGAAGAGCCTATTAGACTCTCTTTGCATACTGACCCATTGTTCACATGCTCACCATTTGCTTTGTCAATTTCTTCCTTCTTGTATTTCCCCAAAAAATGACTTGAAGCCAAGTTGCAGTCATCCTACCTCTTTGTTCCTAAACATTTCAATGGATATTTCCTAAAAACAAGGACCCCACCACCACCCCGCCCAGCAACACACACACACACACACACACACACACACACACACACTCACAAGAATTATCAAGGTTAGGAAACAACATTTCATCTACATGAAAATTCGCTTTCAAATTTCGTCAGCTCTTCACAAGTAGGCCCTTAATAGCTGTTTTCCCCTTTCCAAATCAGAATTCCATGCAGGATTCCACACTAATGATCACACCTCTGTGGTTTTCCTTGCCTGGAGGACAGTTCTTTGGCACTGTATCTTTTATGAACCAAGTCAGGCAAATGCATCGTCCTCCCCTTGATGGCTTGTAGCTTTGCCAGACCAGGAGTCCCACGGAGCTCTGCCTGCACCCCCCTCAGCCAGGTCTGAGAGTCCAATGTGTCTGGAGAGGCCACAGGAACACCATAGCCCCTCCCTTCTCAGAAGGAGGGCTCTGAAGCCCACACTGCCTTGGGTGTGCCGTCAGGAGCACTACCTGTGGCTTCTCTTTCTGTCAGATCTCTGTGACCAGTCTCATCAACGTAAAGGAGTTAAAATCTTTCCGGACTCTACGAGCTCTGAGGCCCCTCCGAGCGCTGTCCCAATTTGAAGGAATGAAGGTATGTCCTCCGGATGGATGGGAGAAAGCCCAGCGGTGAGGGAAAATATTAGCTCTTCTGATAGATTAGGATGGGTTTCCTTAGATTGCCAAGATTATTCCTGGGCTCCTCACCCAGCCCAGTGCTTAGAATTTGGGAGGTGGAGGGAAATCTAATTTATGGTCAACCTAAAAAGTTTCGGTGCCACCCAGCATGGGCTCTGGCTTCCTCTTAGAGTCTTACGGTGGGCGTCCCCTATGGCCTTCTTTCCAGGATGTTTTTCAAGGTATCCTCAGTGGCAACAGAGAGGACACACTATGGAGAACACATGCCTCATGGTGCTGAGAGAACTGGGGTGTCCTGTCTTAGACCTTAGAGAAGGAAGACCTTGCTTGGAGGAAATCCAGCTCTCCACGGGGAGCCAGCTCAGGGAGGTCAGCAACCAGGCGGCTCCAACATACCCTCCTGAAATATTTCTCTTCCATTTTTGTCTCCTTAAGGTGGTGGTCAATGCTCTCATAGGTGCTATTCCCGCCATCCTGAATGTTTTGCTTGTCTGCCTCATTTTCTGGCTCATATTTTGTATTATGGGAGTAAATCTCTTTTCTGGAAAATTTGAAAGATGTCTTAATGGAACAGAAATTGCAAATGTTGACAGCATTGCCAACAAAACCCAATGTGAGAATCAAAGTTACCCCTGGGAAAACCTGAGAGTCAACTTTGACAACGTGGGAATGGCTTACCTTGCTCTTCTGCAAGTGGTAAGTGTCGCTGGCGTGTTTGTTTACTCTGAGAGAAAACTTCCAAGAACTCTTAGTAATCTCTCAGCTAATACAAATGCAGCAACTCCATTGAGATCATCCTGGTATGGAAGCCACTGTCATCTAGCACTGTCCCCCGCTGAGCCTCAATCCCCAACTGCTCCCCTTTAACATCAGTACCACTCACTGTTCTACAAGGCATCTTGCTCCGTGGGCTCAGCCAGAAAGCTTGAGTGGCTCCGTCATCCATTTAGAATGGCTCTCAGTTAAAAGTGAGTCCCAGGCCAAACCACAGTGCCCCTGATCTTGGACAGACAGTGCAAACAGATTAGGCTTTAGGGAACAGTAGGCAAGACAACCCAGGAAACAGAGCAGCAGATCCAAAGCATTGCCGGTCATTTTTGAAGTGGAAATTTCGTTTGTTTTCAGATTTTTTTTTATCTTGTGCAAATGAAGCAGAAGAAAAAGGATCCCAAGATGCTCCACCCTTTAGCTCCTTCACTACGTATGCTCTTTCATTTGAACATTCTTTCTTGGAAAGGTGGATATCACCTTAAATGTGTCTCCCCACTGGGCATGGCTCGGTTTGCATGGCATGTGTCGGTTGACAGCAACTCTACAATGATGTTTGTGTTTCTTTGCTTTTGTTACAGGCAACATTTAAGGGATGGATGGAAATTATGTATGCGGCCGTGGATTCCACAGGGGTGAGTCTGTCTTACACCATATTACAGAGTGCTTCGGTCAAATTGTGGACAGTTCAAAACTTCCTACATCACAGGGCCAGTGGTCAGAGTTTCCTTCCCTCGGACTTAAATACCATGAATAACACCTCTCAATTGAAAGTTCTTATGCAGCCTTGAGAGAGTATCTAGCGTTTTCTAGACACCCTAGTATTTTCTAGAGCCCAAGCCTCTTTCTCCATGATGACGAGGGGAACCACTCATGAAGGAGAGAGCTAAAAGCAACAATCACAGGGGTCTTGATGCTTCTTTATTTCACCATTCCTCCAACTGAGTGGACGGGCAGAAGCTAAATTTGAAAGGGACTTGCTATGGGTCAATCTTCAGACTAGACGAAATCTGAGAAAGAGAGACCCTCACATGGCCCAGTCTCCCCAGAGACTACTGGGATTTCTTATGATTGCTATCTGTTGAATTCTAGCTATATAGAAAGTGACCATGGGTTTACCACGTGGGGAGAATACTCAGTAATCGCATCAATTTCTATGTCCCAGTGGATAAAACTAAAGGATATAAAAAGAGAGTTGCCCAAAGCCATGGAATGAGCAAATGGTTGAGTCAAGAGTAGTAACAGGATCACTCATTTCCCTCCCCTATCCTAACACAGATGGGTGTATGTGTGTGTGTTTGTTTGAGAATCTGTAGGGCTGATTCTAGCACCACAGTGTTCCATGCTAGGAGCAACCTGGTAGCCTCATGGTTACGGATTGGGCTGCTGGCTGCAGGCTCAGCAGTTTAAAACCACCAGCTACTCTGCAGGAGAAAGATGAAGCTTTCGACTTCCTAAAACAGTTACAGTCTTGGAAACCCACAGGGGCAGTTCTACCCTCTCCCACAAGGTCACTATGAGTTGGAACGGACTCAGTGGCAGAATTTGGTTTTGGGATGTTCAGTACATGGCTAGAGATACCTTATAACACAGGAAATGTTTTACAATTATTCGTGTGCTTGTTGCTTTTGTCTTTTTGAGTACATGAGTTCCACCCGAGTTTGCTTTAGGTCCCAATCTACCTTGAGGTGGAGGTGGGAGGTGGGGAGGAGATCTTACACTGATGACTGGGAGATGAGCGATGTGGCTTACCCAGGCTCCCAGAGGGTGTGGGAGGAGGTGTGTAGAGAGTTCTTGCCTTGATGTTGGTCCTGGGATGTGCTTGCAGGTTCATTCTGCTTCTAGCATGGTGACCCCTGTCTATGTGTGGAGTCACAAGGCATCCCGTTGGTCTCAAATCCTGAAACTGTGAGTGGTGATATTATGAGCCGTACCGCATATCAGCTCCTCCTGATCTCCTTGTTTTATTGTTGGCCATGTCCTTCACAAAGCCTCTAATGAAGCAACTTACTCCGCTCCTTGCTATGTGGCCCACTGTCTTTCAGCTTCATGTTCAAGCTATATGGGAATTGAAGCAAGTCCAAGAGACAGCTACTCTAGCCTCCTGACTAAGCCTGTCTGCCTGGACTATCCCAAGACCTTCCCAGCATGGTCATATCTTCAAAAGCAAGCAAGCAAACAAACAAACGAACAAAAAACAACAACCCAGAAATGGAACAAATAGCTATTTTCTATCCTCTGTGTTCCCCCTCTAATCATCCAAAAAGGGAGAATGACCACATATATTTCATGTCTCTGATGTCTTTCTGTTTCTTCTTCCCATAATTCCCTGGAGACAAACTAGGTGTGTTTTTTGCCTCCTCTTATTCCTATCTGAATCTTCCTCCCTCTATCCCTTCAGACTGTTGACATACTAAAAACAAATGGAAACTCGCTTCCACAGAGTCGATGCTGACTCCTAGTGGCCTTATAGGACAGGGTAGAACTGCCCCTGTGGGTTTCCAAGACTGTCACTTTTGATGGGAGTAGAAAGCCCCATCTTTCTCTCAAGAAACGGTTGGTGGTTTCAAACCAATGACTTTGCAATCAGCAGCCCAACTAGTGGCCACTTTCCCTCCAGGCTCCTTGTTGATACACTACAGAGGGACATAAAGACATTCAGTTCCACCTATATCTCAAGGCAAACACCTAGCTTGAAAGATTACCACATCATTTTATTTTAAAGGTCAGATGCTGAATATTAATTCTTCCTTTTGGCTACCCTCTGTCATAAGGCCCACTCTTGACTCAAGCAGATGGATAACTCAAGTCAGCGTAGACTAAGACCAGCAGAAGAGAAAAAAATAATATCTTCAAATTCTTACTGCAAGGACACTACTATATGTGGCTAAGTGTTAACGAACAAATATCATAAACATTTGATAGCTGACAGCTCCATCAACGCTCACAGACTTTGAATGAGCTGAGGGCAGGAGAAGGGAAATCCTTTTTATCACATCCCACAAAGTGTGTGAGGCTGATGACAATGTGAAAAGCTTGGGCAAATGGCATCTCAGATGCTTTGGTGTCTCTTTGAGCTGAGAGAACTTGATTGCAATCCATCTGTGTCCATTCAGGGGCTTGTGACCACTCATTCATTTACTCCACGTATATTGAGAAGCTACAAGTGAGAGGGTATACTAAAGTCTTTGCCATCTGGTCCATTTCTACACAAGTAGAACTGAGTTCCACTGAGCTGCCTTTGCTGTAATCTTTATGGGAGCAGAGTGCCAGGCCTTTCATGGTAACGCTGACTTGGTCCGAATCACCAACCTTCCAGTCAGCAGGCATTTGCGCCACACAGGAATCTGTGAAAATGGATTTAATGCACTTAGGATTTAACAGTAAAGAAGACATAACCACAGAGGAGGCCGAGTGGCGGAGTGGGCTACTCAATAGCCTGCTAACTATACAGTAGGCAGTTCAAACCCAGTAGTTGCCCCATGGGAGAAAAATGAGCCTTTCTGTTCCCAGAAAGATTTACAGTCTTGGAAACCCACAGGAGCAGTTCTACTCAGACCGATAGGAACTGCTGAGTTGGAATTGTCCGGATAGTAGTGAGGTTGTTTAGATAGAACAGTGAAAATATGATGATTGTGGTAGTCCAACTTGCCCTTTCTCTACTGTCCTTGCTTCCAGCTGGCCTCCTTCAATTACTTTCCCATGCAGAGGTCCTACAGATCTTTTTAAGGGACACACAGGATGACGCTACACTCCTCTCTCCCTGTTGAAAAGAAAAGCCCAGCCCTCTCACCCCCTGTAAGCTGAGCTCAGAGACTCCAAACCCACCGCAGTGGGGTCCATCCTGACGCACGGTGACCCTAGAGAACAGAGTAGAATTGTTCCTGAGTGTTTCCAAGACTGTAACTCTTTTATGGCGGTGGGGAACCTCTTCTTTCATACGAGGAGCGACTGTTGGATTTGAAAAGCTTGCCTTGTAGTTAGCCGCCCAGGGAGTAACCCACTACACTAACGTAGGCCCTACTGCCAGTTGAGCTAGGGGACACTGAAAAACACCTCCTTCTAGGGGTCATAGCTGTCTAGGGGAGGCTAAGTAGTTATGTTGCTGCTGAGAAACACCTAGATCCCCTAGATCAGCAGTTCTCAACCTGTGGGTCACAACCCCTTTGGTCGCGACCCTTTCATAGCAGTAGAAAAATTACCGTTATGAAGTAGCAACGAAAATAATTTTATGGTTCAGGGGTCACCACACCATGAGGAATTGTATTAAAGCGTCACGGCATTAGGAAGGTTGAGAGTCACTGCCCTAGATTAAAAACCCTAACTCACTGCTATCAGGTCCATGCCAACGCACTGCAACCCTATAGGATGGGGTAGAACTGCCCCGGTGGGTTTCCGAGGCTGCAACGGTTTCTGGTTTATGGGACTAGCAGACCATGTCTTTCTCCCAAAGAGCAACTGTTGGTTTACAAACTGCAGCCCAACCAGTAACCACCATGCCACGAGGGGTCCTCCCTTGATCCTAGAGATGAGGCAGTTAAAAGAAAAAACAAACAAAACAATCAATATGGGGCGGTCGGGGGGAGGGGGGGAGGATCAACAGAGTCGAGCGGATTCAAACTCACAGGGACCCTATAGGAGAAACTATCCCAGATAACTGCCTACCCTGGATTGTCAAAGACACCATCTTTACAGGAGTGGATTGCCACACCTGTCTCTGGTGGAGTGGCTGGTGGATTCAAGCCGCCAATTTCTCCAAAGCAGCTGAGCACTTTAACCACTGCACCAACAGTTCTATTTACGTTGGCATATATATATATATAATATTTTTTATAGTAATTGTTTTTGTCTCTTGTTTAAAACAATCCTAACAGGCCGGCAACCAGCCCAGGTTTGAGGAGAATAAGTACATGTACCTGTACTTCATAGTTTTTATCATCCTTGGCTCGTTCTTCACTCTGAATCTCTTTATTGGTGTTATTATTGACAACTTCAACCACCAGCAGAAAAAGATAAGTATATGCAGGGTCTCTTGACTTGGCCGTTTTGTCTCTGTTCTCCAAAAGGCTTGGATGGGATATCATTGTGGTCCAGGTGGTTGTACAGACTCACCTCTGTCGTCTGCACCAAAATGAAGGGGGATTCGACAGCTTCGGGCGGGAGAAGCTCCCTAGCGATGAGGCCAGCAGGGACTTGAAAACACTTGGGTTTTATTTCAGCACAGTTTTTACTCGCTGTCCATCTTACCCTCTTAATCACCGGTCATTGTTACTATTAACATTAAGCCTACTTGTAATGGAATCTTAATAGAACCACCACCACTAGAGTGAACACTTACGACACCGTCGTCTCATTTAAAAAGAGCATTCCAGTGGAATTGTCCATTGACTTAAATCATGAGTTTTGTGGGAGGCAATTTAAGCACACGGGGCTGCGAGGTGCCCTACATTCCTTTTGGCACCTTGTGATGCCCTGTGGACAGGGGAGAAATGCTTAGTAGTCACATTTTACTGTTGTTGCAAGTGTATTTTGTTATCCAGGGTGTATTAGTCTGGGTACTTTGGAGAAACAAATCCATGGCGACTCACGTATAAGAGAGAGTTTTATGTAAAGAAAAAGTGCATCACGAAAACATCCCAACCCAATGCTGCCCAAGCCCACAAGTCCAACATTAACCCATTAATCCAACCCAGTCCACAAAGTCCTCCACCTCACAAAACAGAGGCAATGATGCCGACTGCAGGAGGAAAGCTGAGTCAGTGAACGAAGAAGCATCTCAGCACTAGCAGGGGTCTCCACACGGCTGCTCCAGCACCCAGGGCTGCATCGGGATAGGTCCATGTAGCTTCTCCTTGGGGATGTCTTGTAGGAAGTCAATCTTGCAAGTTGAAGCAGGGAACTGCTAAGGCAGCTGCACCCGATGCAACCATCACAAAACAAGAGACCCGAGAACTAGAAAGGCGAGGCTTCACCACCCATTTATCCCTCCGCCTTTCAACCAGGCCCACATGTGATTATTGGCCAGGCTGGCACAATTAACTAACTCACAGGGTAAATAAATAAATAAATAAATTCTCCTCTTTTAGCAAATGTGCTTCCTGACCCCCAACACCTAAGCCCTGGCAGATCTATGAAACCTGGTTGGAAAGATGGTTGGGGGAGAGGAAAAGTTAGGGGGAAATTTTTCTTGCCTTATGTGTCAGACTGGGTTGACTAGAGAAACAAATGCAATGACATTCATGTATGTGTAAGAAAGAGCTTTATATCAAGAAAACATCCCAGCTCAGCCCAACTCTGGTCCATAAGTCCAAAACCAGCCCATAAGTCTCTCTTCAGACTCATGCAGTCACAAGCAATGATGCAGAATGCAGGAAGATCACAGGTTGGTGGGTGCAAAGTCATGTGGATCCAATGGCAGTAGACGCATCACTGGGCTCTGGTAGCAATCAGGGTCAGCCAGCAGGAAAGTGAAGGCAGAGAATGAGGGATGGTTCCAAGGACTCTCCTTATGAGATGGCCATGCCCACAAGGAGGCACCATCAGGCTGTGACCTGATTGACAGGTTGAATACCAACCCTACACTTTTATAAATCTTCCAGTTGACATGAAATTATGTTAAATTATTCAAGCTTTTAAAAATGTGTTGTCAAACTACCTTCCAGTAATGCGATGCTGGGTACTTTCCTGCAGGTTATGGGAGTGGCTATTTATTCTCTTCTCATTATTGTGAGGGTTATAGTTTTCCCCCCCCCTATAGTTTGGTGGGTAAAAGCATTGCCACATTTTGTTTTCAATTAATTGATCATTAGTGAGCTTCCTCAGTTTTCACAGGTTGGTAACCATTAGTATTTTTCTCTTAACAAGTATCTTTTTGTAATCTTTGGGTGGTTTTTTGGGGGTGTTTTTTAAAAATTAATTTTTTATTGTAAATGTATACAAGAGCCCTGGTGGTATCATGATTAAGTTCTCAACTGTTAACCCAAAGTTGGTAGTTTGAACCCCCCAGCCACTCCACAGGAACAAGATGTGGCTGTTGGCTTCTGTAACGTTGACAGCCTTAGGAAACCCGTGGGTAGTTCTATTCTGTCCTGTTGGAGCTCATTCCAGGAGGCTTCAAAAGTTCATTGAATAACAGCATTATCTTTTTTTAAATGTCATTATCTTTTAATTCCATTTCCACAAGTATTTTGAAGGTCCCTTGTGTGAGTATAAATTTGTAAATGTAAACTCGCTGCCATTGAGTCAACTCTGACTCATGGCGACCCTATAGGGCAGGGTAGACCTGCCTGGGAGTCTCCAAGACTGTAACTCTTTTGGGGAGTAGAAAGCCATGTCTTTGTCTGTGGATGGACTGGTGGTTTAGAACTGCTGACCTTGTGGTTAGCAGCCCAACTGACAACCCATTGTGCTACCAGGGCTGCACACACCCACACACCCACATACACCCCCCGCCCCCGCAACCCACACCCACCAAAATCGTTTCCATCTTCAACATTTTTACAAGTACAAGACATTAACTGTGGTCAACAAGTAAAATCACCCACGTGTCAAACCATCCGATCATCTCTACTACGTCTTTCCAGCTTCTTCAATCGCCTGTATCAGAAAGGCAGGCTCTTTTTGAAACTGGAATTGTCGTTGTCTTCATACAGTAAGTCCAGTTAGTGTCTTGCTGCTCAGATTGTTGCCAGGACGTTTTTGACTTGTACCTATTTAGGATTTCTATGGCGTCAAACTCCCAGTCTTGTCTTATTGGGTTATGTATTAGTCTGGGTACTTTAGAGAAACAAATCCACAGAAACTCATGTATAAGAGAGAGTTCTATATAAAGGTTAAGTGCACATCTAGAAAATATCCCAACCCAGTGCTGCCCAAGCCCACAAGTCCAACATTAACCCATATGTCCAACACCAGTCCACAAAGTCCTCCTCCATCTCACAAAACACACACTATGACGCCGACTGCAGGAGGAAAGCCGAATCAGTGAATGTGTAAGCATCTCAGTGCTGGCAGGGGTCTCCACGTGGCTGCTCCAATACCCAGGGCTGCATCGGGGTAGGTCCATGGGGTTTCTCCTTGGGGATGTCTTGCAGGAAGTGAGCTTTGCCAGCTGAAGCAGGGAACTGGCTCAGGCAGCTGCACCCTGGTCCAAGCATCACAAAGCAAGAGACCCGAGAACTAGAAAGGGGGGGCTCACTGAGCCATTTTCTCTCAGCCCTTCAATTAACCTCACTTGTCTTTATCGGCCAGGTTGGCACAATAAACTAACTACCTCAGGTTATTTCTGCTTTTTATAATGAAAGCATTTCTTAATCTCAAAAATCAGGAAACAAAATACTCACCTCTGATTTTCCTAATTGTTTTATGGTATGTATGTATATATATATAAATGTATGTAAAATTTATGCATATAAACATATATATATTTATTTATTTATTTATTTCCTGCGGACTCATGTAATACATCTGCAACACACCTCAATGCTGAGTTTCCTGGGAGAGTTACTCATTGCCCTTGAGCACCTACCTGGCTGCTGCTGCTCAGGAGTGCGCTGTTCAGTCATCCTTGAAATATGCAGCTTGATTGCAATCAGCACCTGCAGTTTGGATGTCAGCCCTTGTGGGTTTAGAGTTAGCCTTCCATTGGAAATCATTGGTTTACTCAGTCCACATCACAGTTTGGTTTGGGGTTTAGTCTTCATTATGCAAATTTCAAACATGCACAAGTCTAAAATACCCATCATCCCACGCAACATTTATCGACTTAAGAACATCTTTGTTTCCTCTATGCCCTTACCCAACACGGACACCTGGTTTTAAAAAAACAAAACAAAAACAGATTATAAACATCGCATTTCATCTAGAAGTATTACTTACAAAAACTTCTCTTTTAAAGACAGAACCACAAATCCACATCACACGTTAAAAACATCAACACTAATTCTTTAATATCAGCGACTACCTGGTTAGTGTTCCCAGGGTTTCATTTTTAAAGATATTTACTCATTTATAATGGAGTCCTGGTGGCATGGTGGTTATTCGTTGCCTGGTAACCAAGAGGTTAGCTGTTCAAAACCACCAGCAGCTCCTCAGAGGGAAAGATGAGGCTTTCTATTCCCAGGAAGAGTTACCATCTTGGGAACCCACAGGGACGGTTCTCTCCTGTCCTATAGGGTTCCGTGAATCAGAATTGACTCCATAGCACTGAGTTTGCCTTCTCATTTTCTATTTATTTATATTAAACGTGGTTTTTTTGTTTTGTTTTCAAATCAGGATTTAAGTCAAGTCCTCCCATTTCACAGCTTCCTTGTTCTCTGAATGAAAGGTGGCCCAGGATCAGACAATACCTTTGCTATGTCCAATGAGGGATCAGACAATACCTTTGCTTGTCAGATGAGGGATCAGACAATACCCTTGCTTGTCCGATGAGGGATCAGACAATAACTTTGCTATGTCTGATGAGAGATCAGACAATGCCTTTACTATGTCCAATGAGAGATCAGACAATACCTTTACTATGTCTAATGAGGGATCAGACAATACCTTTGCTATGTCTGATGAGGGATCAGACAATACCTTTGCTATGTCCAATGAGGGATCAGACAATACCTTTGCTTGTCAGATGATGGATCAGACAATACCTTTGCTATGTCCGATGAGAGATCAGACAATACATTTGCTATGTCAGATGAGGGATCAGACAACACCTTTGCTGTGTCAGATGAGGGATCAGACAACACCTTTGCTATGTCAGATGAGGGATCAGACAATACATTTGCTGTGTCAGATGAGGGATCAGACAACACCTTTGCTATGTCAGATGAGGGATCAGACAATACATTTGCTATGTCAGATGAGAGATCAGACAACACCTTTGCTATATCAGATGAGGAATAAGCCTTTTCTCTTAGGAGTGCTGCTCTCTTTAGCAGAGAATAGTATTTTGAGACCACAGCCGGGGTTTTCACTTCAGTGCACAAAAGTCCTTCAAATTCAAGACCAAAAGTAAATTTGTTTGTGGAAATAC